CGAAGCGCGGCCGGTTGAGCTCGTGGGTCGGACGAGTGGGGGGGTGTACCCCCCCACCCGCCCCGGGCAGGGCAGTTAACGGTTTCGGTTCCCCAGGGGATGAGGAGGAAGCTCGGTACGCCTGCCCCACTTTTGCTTACCCCGCCCCCCCCGTGCCTCTGATCATGTGTGGAGTTCATTCGTCAGGTTCCCTCCCTGACCCAGGAAAACAGGGTTCCTGGGCATGGGCAGAGTTCCTCGCCCTCAAACGAGCTTTAAATCAAACTACCGAACCTGTAAAGTTTGGTTTCTCTGATGTCTGTGTGTGTATGTATGTATGTCTATATATATGAATATATGTATGTATATATATATATGTATGTGTGTATGTAGGTATACGTATGTATATATGTATGTACGTATATGTATGTGTATATATATGTAGATATGTATGTATGTTTATATGTATGCATGTTTATATATATGAATGTATATATGTGTGTATATATGTATGTATATATACGTATGTATATATGTATGTATGTATATGTTTATGTATATGAATGTATGTATGTATATGTATGTGTATATGAATGTATGTATATATGTATATATATATGTATATATATATATATACGTATGTATGTATGTATATGCATGTGTATATATATGTAGATATGTATGTTTATATGTATGCATGTTTATATATATGAATGTATGTATGTATGTATATATGTGTATATGTATGTATATATGTATGTATGTATGTATGTATGTAAAACATCCGAGATTTTAACTTTTTACATACACACACCCACAAAAACTTGAGAAGACATATGTATGTGTATATATGTATATATGTTTATATATATGAATGTATGTATGTGTATATATGTGTATATATATATATATATATGTATATGTATGTGTATATATATGTATGTATGTATGTATATATGTATGTGTGTGTATATATATGTATATATGTATTTCTCTTTAGCCAGGTTCTTCCTACGTAAACCAAGATTTTTATGCAGCCCTAGTTCAGTGAAATCCCAATCCACTCGTTTCTAGGCTTTTTTTTTTCCTGGCAGCCAGCAAACACTCTGCTGCCCATTGGGAGACTAAGTCTCCCAATGTGTGTGTGTATGTGTGTGTATACATTTCCTGTCTCCAGAGGGCCGCGGGGGGGGGGTGTTCGCCCTCCCCAAGCTCCTAGAAAGGCTCTGGAGCTTGGAGAGAGAGAAAAACGGGCCATCGCGTGCCAGGAGTGGGGCAGAAGGGGGATTGTGCGCACATGCACGGGGGTGGGGTGCATATGCGATCTCCCCCCTCCCCCCCACTGCTCCTGGCACGCGATGGCAAAAAGGTTCGCCATCACTGGAATAGGATATTAAATAAACAAATACAGATTGTCCTTGACTTATAACAGTTCATTTAGTGACCATTCGAAGTTACAACGTCACTGAAAAAAGTGACTTATGACCATTTGTCACACTTATGACCATTGCAGCCTCCTCATGGTCACATGACTAAGATTTGGATGCTTGGCAACTGGTTCATATTTATGATGGCTGCAGGGTCACCTGGAATCATGCAATCCCCTTTTGCGAGCTTTTGACCAGCAAAGTCAACGGGGGAAGTCAGATTCACTTAACGACCCGTTTATTAATTTAACAACTGCAATGACTCACTTAACAACTGTGGCAAGAAAAGTTGTCAAATGGGGCAAAACTCAACAAGTGTCTCACTTAGCAACAAATTGGTCTCACTTATGATCGTACGTCGAGGACTATCTGTGTTCCAGGGGAGGGGATTTCTGTCTGATGATCAAATCGACCCAAGTTTTGTTTTCTTTTTTATTCATTTATCAAATTGATATAGCCGCCCATTTCATGTGTTTAAGATGCATCATTCGTGATCCCGTGACCATGGGGATGCCGCAATGGTCGTGTGAAAAATGGTCATATGTGTTGTGGCTCCGTTACCGGAGCCTGTGTCATCGTCAGGAGAGGACTCCGAGAGTGAAGGGGAGGAGTTGGCAAGGCCTCCCTCTCCAGGACCCTCCTCTCTGGCAATGCCTTCGGTGTCCGCCGAAGGGCAAGAGATAGGGCCAGCGCCAAGCATGTCCACGCAGCCACAGATGGACAGTGATGAGGGTAATGAGTCTTGGCTGGATCCACGCCAGCGTCGCAGAGATAAGCGCGCGCAACAGAAGAAAAGGCGTGCCCGAGATTAGGCTGAATCACTGGACCACACCCCCCAGGATATAAAAGGGAGCATGGTGGCCAGTCAAACCTTGTGACGAACAAAGCTGAAAGCTTCCACGCCAGTCTGCATTGCCGGACTTTTGCTTTAAGACGGGATTATCTCTGGACTTGATTGTAATTATTGAGCTGCTTTCCTTTGATGTATCAGAAGTGGGGAGAAGTTATCTCTTCTCTTTGTAAATAATAAACTCTTGGCAGGCAGCCACTAGGTTGTTGCCAAGTTCCGTTATCTTAAGGAAAAGGATTTTGCCGGCTGGTTTGGTCTTTAACTCCTGAACATCTGTTGGTGTGTGTGCGTGGGGTTGGGGACAGAACATCATATGACTTTTTCCAGTGCCGCTGTAACTTCCAACGGCCGCTAAATGGACTGTTGTAAATCGAGGTAAAAGGTACCTGTAAAAGGTAGCCCCACCATATATGTGTATAAATGTGGCTGCCGGATCATTCTTTTCCATTCTTGGGCTAAATCTCATCTCAAGATTAGCAAGGCTTTGTTATGACGTGACAAGGGCACTACGCTGGTCACATCATTTCTTAAACTGCACTTTCTTTTCTGTTGCAATAGGTTTGAGCTTATGTGTCCAAAGATAGGATGTTGCGTTAAATAGAACTTTTCTCACAAATAACAAAACAAGACAGACGGTGATGAAGGTTTTCTGTGGAAGAGCCAATCCGACTACTGGAGCCATGGAGTGGTTAGAGGAAGACGAGAATTATGATTACCACCAGGAAATAGCAAGGTCTGTTGCCAGTGGTGAAATGTAAAATTTTGTTACTACCGGTTCTGTGGGCGTGGCTTGGTTGTGGTGGGGGTAATGTGACTGGGTGGGCGTGGCCAACTTTTTTTTTTTTAACTTTTAAAACCATTTTTTCTACAACCTCTTTGGCCGAAGAGGTTGTAAAAAAAATGCTTTTAAAAGCCTCTGATGATCCCAGCTAAGTTGCCTGATCATCAGAGGCTTTTTTTTTTCTTTTAAAAACATTTTTTCTACAACCTCTTCAGTCAAAGAGCTTATTAAAAAAATGCTTTTAAAAGCCTCTTTTAAAGAGCCAGCTTTGCTGGCTGAGGAACTCTGGGAGTTGAAGTCCACAAGTCTTAAAGTTGCCAAGGTTGGAGACCCCTGCTCTAGAGACAGTGATGGGTACATCTGAATGATAGTGGGTGACCCCCTGTTTGGGAACCGTATGAGTTACTAGTTTTCTTGTAGGTGCAATTTAGGGTGCTTGTTGAGGCCTCCTAGCTCTGAAGCAGGTTATCTAAGGGTACATCCTCTCCCACTCTTGATTTTGATCCAATTTTGCTTCCTTTTTGAGTACGAGTACCATTTCCTGTGCACTACTACACAGGATTCTGTGCATAAATGTGATATTTTCCCCTGTCCTTTTATAAATAGCAGTGTAATCATTGTGCATTCATATTCGGCACATTCATATATATGCCATAATAGGAATTGTTCATCCTGTCATTTATTTAGCTCTTTTCTGATAATGTTGGCACTCCTTGGCAACTTTCTGATTCTTTACTGCATTTGATCTGAAAACTGAATTTTATTTACAGGTCCTGCTATGCAGACATGTTGAATGACAAGGACCGAGTAAGTTATTTATTTGTTTTAGCCATGTTTTATTAGGTGTTAAAATTCCTTATGTAGCTCCATGAACTCCCACTCTGTAGTGCCTTAAATTGTGAGGCAAAAAAACAAATTGTCTAAATGACATTTATAATTTCTAATAAAAAAGTATTGAGTATTTGTTTTTTGCCTTATTTTTAGTTGTCTGGGTGCAGTTATTAGTAACTTTGAATTTCAGATGTTTTGGGGTAGTTTTTGTCCTGTAGGCCTGGTTCAGCCACATCTGGAATTATATAGAGCATCTTTCAGAAAGTTTACCTTTGAATCCATTGTTTTGCAAATGCTCACAGATCCCAAAACCCTCGTGGTAGGGTACATTTGTCCAGGCCTAAGAAATAGGAATACAGTGAAATAAAATGGCTCCTTCTTTCTTTTAACAGAACACCAAGTATTTTCAAGGTATTCGTGCTGCAGTTAGCAGAGTGAAAGAGAGAGGGGAAAAAGCCATTGTCCTGGACATTGGGACTGGCACTGGACTCTTGTCCATGATGGCAGTGACAGCAGGGGCTGACTTCTGCTATGGCATTGAGGTGAGCATCTTTCTCCCTTGTCTGTGAGTAGCGCATGCAGACCAATTGAGTAGGAGACAGTTCTTGAGTCTGTGAATGAAAAAAAAAAGTTCTATCCTGTTCCATATTAAGTTCAGAAAGGTTCTATTCCATATTCCAGAATGTTTTTTAAGTATGATTGTTAACTGAGTTCACATCCCTGCTTTATTGTTGCTAGTATAGTGCTTGAGAATACTTTGCCATGTTTGCCATGTTGAGCAAAACCCCTCCAAATTCTGAGCATGTTGAACTCTTAACTCTAATTCTCTCTCTCTCTCTCTCTCTCTCCCACCTCTCTCCCCCCCCTCTCTCTCTGCCATTCAAGCCTCAGATTGTAGCCTTTCCATTAGTTGATAGTCATGAACTATTCAGAAGACGACTCTCCTATACAGGCACTCCGCGATTAATGACAATTTAATGACATTTTTTCTAGTCCAATGGTAGTATGTATGTGTGTATAAATATATGTAAATAATGTAGGCGGAAAGGACTAAGCTAAAATCATCTACTGTTCCTGACAGCTTTCAAAAAAAACCCCAGCTGATTCCAACAGATGCTGAAATACCCAATCTATAACTTTGAGCTCTCCAAGGTCCTGAAGATGCTTTCTTAATGCTCTCTTCTCCAGAGCATTCTTTGTGAATTACAGCGTTTTAATTTATTTTCTTGAGGTCCTTGACTAGGGCAGTTCTCACTTCGGATGTGAATTGATTTTCAAACTTGAAAGGCAGAATGTTGTGCCATGCATGTATACCAACTTTTGAAGAAAGAGAATCACATTATAGCCTGAAAAATGTGATTCGTCAAATATGCTACCTTTGCAAACAGTAAAGAGGAGACAGTGTTGGAGAGTCTCTGCAGTTAGATGTGAAAGACCTCCTGTTCAGGAGCTCTTGCCAATCAGGATATAAAAGAAATACGTAGGATAGTGAAAGCTGTTGTAGCTTCTAATTTCTTTGGTGTAAGGTTACCTGCTTGATGGGGGGTTGATGACCTACAAGGTCCCTTCCACCTCTGTTAAAAAAAAAAGATTACTTTCTAGTCATGCAATAATAATTCCTTATTCTTTAAAAATAATAACCTGGTGGTTCCATTGGATGGTTAAGCCCCAGGTTTTTCAAAGACCTCATTCTGCTTTGCTTACTGCTCCTATTTTAAAATAATAATAGCAATAACACTTAGACTTATATATTGCTTCATAGTGCTTTACAACACTCTCTAAGCAGTTTACAGCATCAGCCTCTTGCCCCAAACAACCATTTTACCAACCTCGGAAGGATGGCTGGCTGAGTCAACCTTGAGCCAGTTATGATCAAACTGCTCGCAGTGGGCAGAGTCAGCTTGCAACACTGCATTCTAACCACTGTGCCACCAATAGGTTCAGTTATTTTATTTTCGAGAAGTTGATTTAAGCATTTCACCTACCCTGTTTCCCCAAAAATAAGACATCCCCTGATAATAAGCCCAATAGGGCTTTTGAGCGCATGTGCTAAAATAAGCCTTCCCCCCAAAATAAGCCCTCCCTGAAAATATTTAAATGCAGAGCTGGAAATCAGGTAAGACGGCAAGAGAAGCCCCATCTTGCTCCACGCGCCCCAAAATAATAAGACCTCCCCGAAAATAAGGCCAAGCACTTATTTCGGGGTTCAAAAAAATAGAAGACAGGGTCTTATTTTCGGGGAAACATGGTAACTTGCATCCCTTACCATTGTCCAGAGGCAAGTTGTCACATAAGGACCCATTTTTAAGCAGGAGAGCAACTACTTAAGGAGATAAACTCCTTAACTAAGGAGATAGAGCACTTTTTCCCAATATTTTCTCGAGCAATCTTTATCCAAAGGTATGCACAATTCCTTTTACAAAATCCATGCCAGGGTTTTTATGCCAAAAGTTTGCACAATGGGATCAGAGACTATTTAAATTAAGACTTACTGAACTTCAGTATCTCAAAGATCCTCGGTTTTTACCGCTGATAATCGCATGTATTTAGCTGAACCTCCTATGCAGAGCTTGTTTTGTCTTGTAAGTTAACAAAGACACATTTGTACGTGTAAGAAATCTGTATTTGCATCCAAGAGAATGGATTGTAAACTTTATGATAGGTGTGTGTTGTGGAATACCAATTTCTTCCTTCTTTATATAAAAAAAACTATAGAGTTTCAAAAAGTGGATTTGTCCGCAGATGCCTGAAACTGTACAAATTGTTTTCTTACTTTAGAGGCTGCCTATTAGCATGCAGACACTTAGTTTCTGCTTGGGTAGCTTCCAAGAAAACCCCTGTGTTTTGATGACTCTGAAATAACAATAAGGCTCTGATTAGGTAGGAAATTTTGTATTTTGAGGAGATAGGGACAAAGTTAGGTTGGGTTAGTTTTTATATTAAAACATTGACTAATGAAAGACTTTTTGGCCGGCAGTGGTCTGTAGCCATCTGTGTTCCTCAACTTTTAGTTTCGCATTTGCATTTTGGCAGGAAAGAAAGCAATTTTGACAGCTTGGAATGTGGCAGGCATTTTATTTTTGTCAGGATTCATTCATTAATTAGATGCATGTTTTAATATAAACAGAAGCTTTGTGGCCTTGAGAATACAAAGTCAGAACACTTTGCTAAGTTGTTATAATTTGCCTTGTTTTTGACTGCCCAGGTCAATGCAAAAATTTAACCCAGGTTTGCCAGTTGGCAAAGAGGAATAACTGATCAACCCTTTCCAATGTACTGTAAAAAAGAAGAATAAGTAGAATGATTTGTTGTTAAAGTGGCACGAAGCTACTTTGGAAAAGCTGAGTGTTTATTGGAAGTTGTACACTGTTTGTGCTTAGCGATGTTGCTTTGCAATAAGTGATGTTCAAAACTGGCTGTAGTAATTTTCTGATAGTATTTTGAACTCGGAAAGTAGATCCTATTGACTTCTTTTTTGGGGGAGAGTTTGGAATAGTGCAAGGGGTCTCCAAACTTGGCAACTATAAGACTTGTGGACCTCAACTCCCAGAATTCCCCAGCCAGGCTGTCTGGCTGAGGAATTCTGGGAGTTGAAATCTACACGTCTTAAAAGTTGCTGAATTTGGAGATCCTAGTATAACGACATGGGTATATAATGGGAACCGTGTCAAAGAAGATTCTGGTTCAATTCTGAGCAGCGAATTTGTAAGATGTTCTTAAAAGCAGAAATTCACCCACTTTTCTCAGCCAACCAAGATCCTATTCTATTCAGTTATGGTTCTTCCGTAATAAGGAATGTAAAAAAAAAAAAAATCATAGAATTTCTACTTGGATCAAAACTTTATAATAAAAACCAATCAAATGCAGTTTCCCCAGTGTCTCCTTCCTCTTTGCATACCCCCAAGAATGAAAGTAGTGAAAATACTGTAAGACATCTAAGTACTGGGGCTATATAGGCAACTTCCTGTCCATCCAGCTCAGCCTTTTCCAACTGGATACCCTCCAGATTTATTGGACCTCTGTACAGCTCTCAAACCCTCATCTAGCTTGGTATTTAGTGGCCTGGGGGAATCTGGGAGTTGTAGTCTGATCCAGGAATGAGTCAGGCTGAAGTGAAGCTCAGTGTCAGGGTTCCGACGGATGCCCTAATTAACTCATGAGCCTCAAGCCAAGCTTCAAAAGAAATCCAGTTATTTATTAGGAGGTTCATGTTGGCACGTTCCAAGTGAAGCCAACTCTGACCCCAAGTAATTTATGCCCCAATCATGACCCTGTTTCCTCCCTAACCCCCGGGTATGTCATCATTCACATTCGTAAAGGAGCAATTTCAAGGGTTGTAGAGATCACTCCCCTCCAGCCACTGTGGTTAACCCTGGGAGACAACCTTGAGAGAGATATATCTGGAATGTGCTTTTGTTTTTGGCTGCCATATGCTTCGTTGGTTTCCCATCCCCCTTGCCTATGGCAACTCGAGAGCAGGCCAGGGGTGCTTTGTGAGTTGACGCTTGGAAGCTAGAAATGAAAAGCAATTGCATTAGAGCTGGGTTCTTCAAACTTGGCAACTTTAAGAGTTGTGGACTTCAACTCCCAGAATTCTTGAAGTCCACAAATCTTAAAGTTGGCAAATTTGGAGACCCCTGCATTAGGGCAATGAACTTCTAAGGTGTTCACAGAAAGGCAAGCAGCAAAATCTTGTCCTTGTCTCAAAACTCGGGAATTTACATGATAAAAACAGCTTCCTCCCACCCTCAATTTTTGTCACGGACAACTCGGCTGCAAATGACAGCTCTACACTGGAGAGCTTTTAAAAATTAATGAGGTTATATAGATGGCATATTTAAATGTATTATGGGCGCCCAGAGTCTACTGGAGGGGGCGGCCTTTACAGATTTAAATAAATAGTGTTTTGAACTGTTGAAATACACTGTATAAATACCAAGGATGATTATGTTGCAGGTCTTTAAACCAATGGCCAATACAGCTGTGAAGATAGTGGAAAAGAATGGCTTTGGTGACAAGATAAAGATAATTAACAAGCATTCTACCGAAGTTACCGTGGGATCAGGTAAGGTTACTGCCTTGATTTACGGAGAAACAGAATATTTTTTTATATACTGGTAATCCTCAGCGCACAACTACAAATTGAGCCCAAGATTTTCCTTGCTAAGCAAGACGGTTGATAAGTGAGTTTTTGCTCCATTTTACGACCTTTCTCGCCACAAATGTTAAGTGAGTCGCTGCAGTTGTTAAGACTGTAACCCGGTTGTTGAGTGAATCTGGCTTACTTCCCCCTTGACTTTGCTTGTCAGAAGGTTGCAAAACGAGGATCACGTGACCTCCCGCCCCCCCCCCCAGGACATGCGCATAAAGCAGAACGTAATTATCCAAATGTCAATCCAAGAAAATATTTTTTAAAAATGCAACTAAATTAGAGGACTACTTAATCGAAATGTTCAGGGGGAAGATAAATCTCTCATCCTAGCACTAATCAGATTGCTGTGTTGGCACAGTGCGCCTCAGCCGAGTGCCATACCTAAGGAATATTTTACATTTCTCTCTCTCTTTCTGATTGCCAGTTGCTGATCGATAGAATTGCATCTTTTTTTTTTTCTGGGCCTTCTGCTGCAAAAAGGCACAATATTACGTTGCGTCTGCATTTCAGCTCATAAAGTGGTAGCTGTGAAGGAAAGTTTTCAAATTTGTCCAAAGGAGATTAAGAAGAGGAAGTTACAGGATTTTAGTTTTAGCATTTCATAGCCTTTTTCCAAGCAAAGCATTTTCTGCTTAGGAAACTTCTCAACAAAGTTAATCAAGTTGTGGTTTCCTCGTTGCTGTGTGCTCCAAAACCTGTGTGCTTTTCTCTTTCTCTCTCTCTCCCTCTCTCCATTCATCCATCTATCTTGAAAAAGCTTTGATTCTGATGTTTACAAACATCCCATGCAAAAACAATTTTATTACACCATGGTTTACTTGAGCTGTGGAATTTTGTTGTGAGTGGATAGAATATTCACAGTTCTGCTTAGTTCCACCTTTGCTCTTGCTCATTTGCGAAGAAATTTAGCTGCTTTTTAGCTCTACACTTAAGCAAGATATGCTGAAAACTAGCATTTAGTGATATACTTAGAACAGCTTTTTCCATTTTGAAACGTATCCTTGTGTATTTTGGGGAATCGGAATATTTTCCCCTACCAGTTTGTCATCTGTCCCCACCCTCACTCTGAGCCTTCCTAATATCAACCAGGAACAAAAAGACAACTTCTTGTAAAATTGCAAATTCTGTGAAAAACAAATAGGCTCATTGGAAAAAGTTATGCTAGAGCCCCTCTGTATCAACAGGGAGAATTATTACCATGCTTATATTATACCTGATCTGTGCTATAACATTTAGGCTAGGCTCATATACCGTGGCTCGTTTCACCATGAAGATGCTAAAATTGGCTCGATTCAGTCAGTATAGCTAAGTAAAAAACATCGTTTCACCATGAAGATGCTAAAATTGGCTCGATTCAGTCAGTGTAGCTAAGTAAAAAACAGACTAGACTGTAATTAAAATTACAGTTTAATAGCTTGTCCAGCCTGTGTTTACTCTTTGGAGAGATTGCACAATATGTTGGGGAAACTGGATCTTTCCTTCTCCCCAATCCAATATTAAGTTTTTGTGTCATGCTGTATGTGCAGTGAGGACCTTGTGGCTTAGTCATACAATCACAGAGTTGGAAGGGAGTTTGAAAGTCTTCTAGTGACCAAATCCCTGCTCAAGCACTTATACCACTTCAGACAAATGGCTATCCAGTCTCTTCTTGAAAGCCTCCAGTGATGGGGCACCCACAACCTCTGAAGGCAAGTTGTTCCATTGGTTGATTGTTCTCACCGTCAGGAAATTTCTCCTTAGTTCTAGCTCTTAGTACTAGACAACCTATGCCCGGTTGAAAGATTTTTCTTTACCAGATTTCTCAAGGCCTTCAACAATGCCAGAACTTCTTATGTCCTGCCTGGTCATGTGGCCAGCATGACTCAACGCCAAAGGTGCACGGAATGCTGTTACCTTCCCACCAAATGTGGTCCCTATTTTTCCACTTGCATTTTTTACGTGCTTTCGAACTGCTAGGTTGGCAGAAGCTGGGACAAGTAACGGGAGCTCACCCCATTACACAGCACTAGGGATTCAAACCACAAGCTCAGCATCTTAGCCACTGAGCCACCGTGTCCTTTCACTAGACTAGGCACACCTAATTTCCTGCAACCATTTATTCTTCCCTTGGGCCAGCCACAGAAGCTAGTGGTCAGAGTCGAAAGGTCGGCCAGAGGAGGGGGATGGAAAGGAAACAGGAAACAATTTCATGAAAGGTAAAATAAATAATTCTCATTGCATCTCCTTTTCCTAACCCTATTTCTTATGGCAGGGTGGGACAGTTGGTTAGATAGCTTAAAAAGAAGATGCTGCCCATACAGGTAGTCCTCAACTTACAACTAATTGAGCCCACAATTTCGAGTGTAAATCATGACACTCATAATGTGGGTTGGCATGTGACTGCCTGCTTGATTTTTTAAAAAAGTTTTTTACAGCAGTTAAGCGAATGTTGCAGTCATTAAGCAAACCCATTCTTTGCTATGGGGTGGAAACTGGAAGTAAAGACCAATTTCCAGCAAAAATATTGTAAATCACATGGGGCACAGCTGCAAAAGTGGGCTGTATTCTGAGAGCCTGAAAGTGGTTACTTGACTCTCTGGGGAGGTGGGCAGACTTCAAAATTTTAAACCTTGGACTTAAAAAGTCCCGTTTTCAGAGTGTGCCATAACTTTGAATGGTTGTTTTAAGTCGAGGACTACCTGTACGTGTTTGAGACCAAACACATTTAGTAGAAAAGTCTAAAACAACTTTATTTGGGAACAGTCCAAACTGAATTCCAGGGTCGCTGGTCAAATGTCGGTTTTGTATGATGCTTTTCAGATGGAGACATGGAATCCCGTGCAAACATCCTGATCACGGAGCTGTTTGACACCGAACTGATCGGGGAAGGGGCCTTGCCCTCTTACGAACACGCTCACAAGCATCTCGTACAGGTAAGGAGTGAACTAGGGCAGAGAAGATAAATTCACCTGTGTTCTTTGGTGGGTAGAAAGACAGTCAACCCCCAGATTTCTCACGATGAAACATTTCCCGATTCCTAGCTGATCAGTTTTGTTCACTAGCTTGCAACTCTCAAAATGATGAAACGGATTTTGGCCTCTCATTAATGTGATCTGTGCCTTACATTTAATGAGCTTTTGAGAAAATGCTTTAGAGAAATATATAGAAAAGATATAAAAAATATATAGAAAAGATACACGGAGACGTTTTCTGAGAACGTTCGGTTTCCTGAGATAAAACAGCTTAACAATTTCCAAGAGATCTGTTGAGGAATGTTTGAGATTCTAGAACAGGGGTCCTCAAACTTTTTAAACGGGGCCAATTCATGGTCCTTCAGACTGTTGAGGGGGCCGGACGGGCTGGGTGGGCGTGGCTAGGTGATCATGTGACTGGGTGGGTGTGGCTAGGTGGTCATGTGACTGGGTGGGTGTGGCCAATTTAGCAGTCCATTAAATAATACACACAAATTAAACTTTAATTTGTTTTGCTCCTGGGGGTGGAAAGCAGGTTAGTGAAGGGATGTGGCTGCCTTGGAGTGTGTGTGAGGGACTTCTGTTTCTGTGTGTGTGTGTGTGTGTGTGTGTGTGTGTGTGTGTGTTTCTCTCTCCCTCCCTCCCTCTCCCTCTTTCTGGAGCCCAGGGAGGCCAAAAACGGGCCTGTTTTTGGCCGCCTCGGCCTCCAGAAGATGGGTGGGGGCTGGCAGGTAGGTGGGGGCGATGTGGGCGGGGCAGCCTCGTCCCGCGCGGACCGGATTAATGGTTTTGGTGGGCCATATCCAGCCCATGGGCTGTAGTTTGAGGACCCCTGTTATAGACGATTCCGAATGGAATGGGACAACTTCTTGTGGCCATCTCACCGCGGGACAATTTCACACGGGATAACTCAATGCAATAAATATTATCCGCCATTGTTCTTTTGACATTATTTCCATTGACAAAAATGGAGATAATGTTGAAGAAACAGTGGAGGATAACGTTTGTCCCTGCCAAGTTATCCCACATGGATTGTCCTGTGGTGAGTTGGCTGCGGCAAGATGGCCACGGCAAAATTCCTGTGCTGGGTTGGCCGGTGGCAGGATGGTTGGGACGAGTTGGCCGCAGCGAAATGGCCGTAGTAAGGTAGCCCCAGCGAGTTGTCCTAGACCTGATTCTCAAATCCCTGAAAGTAAGTTTTTTTTGGTCTAGCTGTTATTTTTAAGATAGCGCCGTGGTGGCGCAGTGGTTAGAGTGCAGTCCTGCAGGCTACGTCTGCTGACTGCCGGCTGCCTGCAATTTGGCAGTTCGAATCTCACCAGACTCAAGGTTGACTCAGCCTTCCATCCTTCTGAGGTGGGTAAAATGAGGACCCAGATTGTTGGGGGTAAGAGGCTGATTCTGTAAACCGCTTAGAGGGGGCTGTAAAGTACTATTAAGTGGTATATAAGTCTAAGAGCTATTGCCTTTCCTTCCTTCCTTCCTTCCTTCCTTCCTTCCTTCCTTCCTTCCTTCCCTTCCTTCCTTCCTTCCTTCCTTCCTCCCTCCCTCCCTCCCCTCCCTCCCTCCCTCCCTCCCTCCATAGTGGTGCAGTGGTAGAATCAGTATTGCAGGCTGACTCTGCCCACTGCCAGCAGTTCGATCCTGACCGGCTCAAGTTGATTCAGCCTCCCATCCTTCCAAAGATGGGTAAAATGAGGAGCCAGATTGTTGGGGGCAATAGGCTGACTCTGTAAACCGCTCAGAGAGGGCTGTAAAAGAACTGTGAAGCGATATATAAGTCTAAGAGCTACTGCCTTTCCTTCCTTCCTTCCTTCCTTCCTTCCTTCCTTCCTTCCTTCCTTCCTTCCTTCCTTCCTTCCTCCTCCCTCCCTCCCTCCCTCCCTCCCTCCCTCCCATGGTGGTACAGTGGTTAGAATCAGTATTGCAGGCTGACTCTGCCCACTGCCAGCAGTTCGATCCTGACCGTCTCAAGGTTGATTCAGCCTCCCATCCTTCCAAGATCGGTAAAATGAGGAGCCAGATTGTTGGGGGAAATAGGCTGCCTTTGTAAACCGCTTAGAGAGAGAGAGAGCTGTAAAGAGGTATATAAGTGCTATTGCGTGTCTTTTTCTCCCCAAAGCACATGAACCGTATTTGATTTCTTTCCTATTCATCCTTCAATGAGCAGGAGGGATGTGAGGCAGTGCCTCACAGAGCCACCATTTATGCCCAGTTGGTGGAGTCCAAACGGATGTGGTCGTGGAACAAGCTGTCTCCCATTCATATCCAAGCAGAAGGTGTCCAGAAGACCATTGTCTTCCCACCAGAAATGAACGTTTGCCCTGGTGCACCTTCCGTCTGTGACATCCAACTGAATCAGGTGCCCACGCGTGACTTCGTGCCGCTCAGTGAAGTCATCCCTATGTTCAGGTGAGGTCTATCTTGTGGTGCTGTTTTTAGGGATGTGTGCGTTTTTTCCTGATACAGATAATGCTCAACTTACAACCGCAATGGTGGCCAAAATTTATGTTGCTAAGGGAAATTCGTGAAGCGGGTTTTGCCCCGTTTTACGACTTTCCTTGCCACATTTGTTAAGTGAATGGCTGCAGATTGTTAAATTAATAACTCTTGTGACCCAGGCCCAAGTAGTTAGTATTAAATGCAAACAGTTCGAAAACAAACAGATTTTATTAGAACAGCTGAAAATTAACTCATTCTCAGCGTAGTCCAAACTAAATGAAAGCAAATTCTTCAAAACACCATTCCTCAGTTTATCACCGACCTTGGGATATTTAGGCAAACTGCCAAAAGCTTTTCTTGGCAAAATGTTCAGAAGCAGAGAAGACGCCAACAAGAAATGAATACAGTGAAACAAGAAGCAAATCTCTCAACGTTGTTTTCCAGCAAAGAGCCCAAGAGCCGTTGCTGGTCTTTTAAGCCTTATGGGAAGGGCCAATCATCTCTTGGCCTTACTGCTGAGTTGTCCTTTTTCTTCTCATACCTGCACTTGGAACAGGCTCCTCCTTTCCTCTGCCTCTCTACTGTCAGCCTCTGGAGGCTCCAAAGTCCACACATCACTCCCCGATGGCCCTGGCCGCATCTCTGCCTCCGACGCAGAGCCCTCGTCCGGGCCTTCCCCCCCTGACTCCAGGACTGGCCCATGTTCTTCCTCAGCCTCCTCACTGTCCGACTCCTCGCTGCCAGCTCCGCAGACTGCGGGCGGACCACAACAATTACCCAGTTGTTAAGTGAATCTGGCTTCCCCATTGATTTTGCTTGTCAGAAGGATTGCAAAAGATGATCACATGACCTCGGGACACTGCAACCATCATAAGTATGAACCAGTTGTCAAGCATTCGAATGCAAATCACATGATCATGGGGATGCTGCAACAGTCATCAGAGTGAAAAAGGGTCATAAGTCACTTTTTTTCAGTGCTGTTGTAACTTTGAACAGCAACTGCACTTAGACTTATATACCGCTTCACAGGGCTTTACAGCCCTCTCTAAGCGGCTTACAGAGTCAGCCTCTTGTCCCCAACAATTTGGGTCCTCATTTTACCCACCTCGGAAGGATGGAAGGCTGAGTCCACCTTGAGTCTGATGGGATTCGAACTGCAAAATTGCAGGCAGCTGACAGTCAGCGGAAGTAGCATGCAGTACTGCACTCTTAACCATCGCACCACCGAGGCTTCTCAGTGAATATAGTGAATGGTCACTAAATGAACTGTTGTAAGTTGAGGACTACCTGTATATCTTGTATGTTTATTTTGTGTGTCTGAGTACATAATAAAAACAATTACTTTCAACCTGCCTTCCATTGAGGATCTGTATACTGCACGAGTCAAAAGAGGGCTGTGAAAATATTTACAGACCCCTCGCATCCTGGACATAAACTGTTTCAACTCCTACCCCTCAAAATGACGCTATAGAGCACTGCACACCAGAACAACTAGACACAAGGACAGTTTTTTCCCGAACGCCATCACTCTGCTAAACAAATAATTCCCTCAACACTGTTAAAATATTTACTAAGTCTGCATTACTATTAGTCTTCCCATCGTTCCTATCACCCATCTCCTCCCACTTACGACTGTATGACTGTAACTTTGTTGCTGGTATCCTTAAGATTTATATTGACTGTTTCCTAATATGATTTGATTGCTTATTTGTTCCCTATGACTAATCATTAAGTGTTGTACCTTATGATTCTTGACGAATGTATCTTTTCTTTTATGTATACTGAGAGCGTATGTACCAAAGACAAAATCCTTCTGTGTCCAATCACATTTGGCCAATAAAGCTGTTCTGTTCTGTTCTGTTCTGTTCTGTTCTGTTCTATTCTATTCTGTCTGTTCTGTTCTATCCTATCCTATCCTATCCTATCCTATCCTATCCTATCCTATCCTATCCTATCCTATCCATCCTATCCTATCCTACCCTATCCTACCCTGCCCTGCCCTGCCCTACCCTACCCTACCCTACCCTACCCTACCCTACCCTACCCTACCCTACCCTACTCTATTCTATTCTATTCTATTCTATTCTATTCTATTCTATTCTATTCTATTCCATTCCATTCCATTCCATTCCATTCTATCCATTCCATTCCATTCTCTTCTATTCTATTCCATTCTAATCCATTCTATTCTTTCCATTCATTCATTCCCTATCCATTCCATTTCATTCCTATTCAATCCTATTCCATTATTCCCTTCCTCATTCCATTCCAGTCATTTTCATTCTATTCCATTCCATATCTCCCTTCTATTATACTCTATACTATTCTATTCTATTATTCTATATCCTATTCCTTCACATTCCATATCCTTTCCATTCTATTCCATTCCATTCTACTACCTTTCCATCTATTCCATATCATCTATTCATTCCTATTATTCCTCCATTCTATTTCATTCTTCATTCCATTTTTCCTAATTCCTTTCTCCTTCTTCTATTCTATTCCATTCTATTCCATTCTTTCTATTCCATTCTATCATTCCATTCCATTCCATTCATTCCCTTCCATTCCATTCCATTCCATTCCATTCCATTCCATTCTATCTATTCTATCTTTCCATTCTATTCTATTCCATTCTATTCCATTCCATTCCATTCCATTCTTCTGTTCTATTCCATTCCATTCTATTCTATTCTATTCTATTCTATTCTATTCTATTCTATTCTATCCTATTCCTATCCTATCTATCCTATCCTATCCCTATCCTATCCTATCCTAACCTACCTACCTACCCTACCCTACCCTACCCTACTCTATTCCATTCCATTCCATTCCATTCCATTCCATTCCATTCCATTCCATTCTTCTGTTCTATTCTATTCCATTCCATTCTATTCTATTCTATCTATTCTATTCTATTCTATTCTATTCTATTCTATTCTATTCTATTCTATTCCATTCCATTCTATTCCTTTCCATTCATTCCATTCCATTCCATTCCATTCCATTCCATTCCATTCCATTCTTCTGTTCTATTCTATTCCATTCTATTCATTCTATTCCATTCTATTCCATTCTATTCCTATTCCATTCCATTCTATTCTATTCTATTCTATCCTATCCTATCCTATCCTATCCTATCCTATCCTATCCTACTCTACTCTACTCTACTCTACCCTACCCTACCCTACCCTACCCACCCTACCCTACCCTCCCTACTCTATTCCATTCCATTCCATTCCATTCCATTCCATTCTATTATTCTATTCCATTCCATTCCATTCCATTCCATTCCATTCTTCTGTTCTATTCTATTCCATTCTATTCCATTCTATTCCATTCTATTCTATCTATTCTATTCTATTCTATTCTATTCTATTCTATTCTATTCTAATTCCATTCCATTCCATTCCATTCCATTCCATTCCATCCATTCCATTCCATTCCATTCCATTCCATTATCTATTCTATTCTATTCTATTCCATTCCATTCCATTCCATTCTTCTGTTCTATTCTATTCCATTCTATTCCATTCCATTCCATTCTATTCCATTCCATTCCATTCCATTCATCCTATCCTATCCCATCCTATCCTATCCTATCCTATCCTATCCTATCCTATCCTATCCTATCCTATCTACTCTACCTACTCTACTCTACTCTACTCTACTCTACTCTACCCTACCCTACCCTACCCTACCCTACCCTACCCTACCCTACTCCTATTCTACCCTACTTCTATTCTATTCTATTCTATTCTATTCTATTCTATTCTATTCTATTCTATTCTATTCTATTCTATTCTATTCTAGAAATGCTGCTTAACATTTAACCACCCAGGTGAAAAGCTGCCATTTAAAAGGAGCTGATTTCACTTCGCTGTTTTCCACAGTATAGATTTCAGTAAGCCGGTCAGCAGAGCTTCTGCGTCCTACACAGTGAAGCTGAAACCCATCAAGTCTGGCAAAGCCCAAGTGGTCCTTTCCTGGTGGGAGATTGACATGGATCCTGCTGGGTCCATCAAATGCTCGTTGGCCCCATACTGGGTACAAAGCACTTTTGAAGAGAACCCGGTAAGCTTTGTAACACTTCGTTGCCTTACCAAGAATTTCACGATAATAAGGATACCTACATGAGGGACGCGGTGGCTCAGTGGCTAAGGCGTTCAGCTTGTCGATCAAAAGGTCGGCAGTTCAGCGGTACGAATCCCTAGTGCCGCGTAACGGGGCAAGCTCCTCTCTTGATTGGAAACTAGAGACATTTTTGTTAGGAATATTCACTAGAAAATATACTAAAGAAATAAAATACTTAATTTTACATATCATAACAGCCGCACGAATATCATATCCACAAAATTGGGGGAAAAAAATACACCAACAGAGGAAGAATTGATAAAAATTTTTTAGAGTGTGCCAAGATGGACAAATTAACAAAAGAACTTAAAGCAAAGGAAGATATGGAATACTATGTAATGTGAAACAAATGGTACAACTGGCTGGAGATTAGAAATAGTGAACAATAATGAAAGGTGAGAAATCATAAATGTAAAATGTTTATAGGACAATGTATAAAATGTATAAACTTAGTATCATGAATGTTAGGAATTATAGTGTAAATAAGAGAGAATGGGACAAGAAGGAAATGAATAGTATAAGGGGAATTGGGGTAATATGTAAATATTAGAAGATTACCGTTATGGAAGAGTTGAAAAAAGGGAACATATGTTATGTGTTTTGTGTTTGTTATATTGTGTTGTGTTATAAATACACATTTTTTTTTTAAAAAAAAGAATAATCTTGCTGTTTGCTGCTGGAGTTCCATGTTTTTTGCTCAATTCCCCCCCCCCCCAACGAAAGTCTTTTGCGACATCGCTGAAGTTAATCAGCAATTAATTCTCCTCTGCTTTTTCAAACTGCTCTTTTATCCCCTTGTTTTCAGTGGAGAGACCACTGGATGCAGTGTGTTTATTTCCTTCCAAATGAAGAACCTGTGACCCAAGGCCGAAGCGTGGATTTGACGGCTTTCCATGATGATTACTCTATGTGGTATAAACTTCAAAAAAGCAGGTAACTCAAGATGTGGAACGGAAACGGGAGCCGTTGACCAAATGAAGTGTGTTAGACAGGAAAGTCTTTATTTTCTCGATCTTTGAAAGCTGGGAGATTATTAGGGAACATCGGATAACAGTCTAGGGCAGTGGTGGCGAACCTTTTACTCACCGAGTGTCGAAGAGGTACGTGCCTCGCGTGCTTTTGTGCCATCCGCACTAATGCACGGGTCCTCCCCATGCGCTGTGCGCACAACCTCATCTCTGCATGCGTGAAGCTTTCGTGCGCCCCCCTCACCGTGCGCTGCATGCGCAATCACACCCTCTGTGCATGTGCACAGCTTTTGCACGCAGCTGTTCTGTCCCCTCCCACGAGTGGCCTTGCAATAGCTCAAATAGCCTGGCAGTAACAAACGCAGGCTGAAGAGATTCAAGCTGGCCCTTTAATAAACAGTTCAGTAGTTACTGGCAATGTTCCAAAGGTATATCAGTTCAGTAATTTATTTATTTATTTATTTATTTATTATTTATTAATTTTATTTCTATACCGCCCTTCTCCCGAAGGACTCAGGGCGGTGTACAGCCTAATTAAAAAAACAAAGACAGACAAAATTTAAAAATAATTAAAATTATTAAATAATAGCCCTGATTTATAAAACCCCGAATTTAAAACCAATTAAAAACTTTATATTGATAGCCCAGCCTGGCGGAACAACATGGTTTTGAGGGCACAGCGAAATACACGGAGATCAGAGATTTTTATGAATTTCTGGGGGGAGCTCATTCCAAAGGGCAGAGGCTCCCACAGAGAAGGCCCTCCCCCTGGGTGTCGCCAGCCGACATAATTTGGCCGATGGCACCCTGAGGAGACCCTCTCTGTGGGAGCGAACTGGCCGATGGGAGGCTATTGGTGGCAGAAGACGGTCTCGAAGGTACCCGGGTCCTATGCTTGGATAATTACCGGGCAATGTTCTAGAGGTCTTGGCAGACGGCCAGCAGGCTAATGCAAGACTCCTTTTCAAAACTCAAAACTAGCAGTTCTAAACTCCAAAACGCCAACAAATTGTTCACCACGCATTTCCGGCCCAGCCACACCCCTTTTATACCTTGTAGGGTGTGGCCCTACGTCTCCTGACCACACCTCTTGGGACGTGGCAATTGCTGTTCTCTACGACGTCTCCTACGTCTCTCTCTTGCATCCAATAGGGGCTCCCTCTCCTCGTTACCAGCCTCTGGTTCCTCCTCAATTTGGCTGGGGTCCAGAGACACGTCAGCAACTGTCAGTTCTTGCTGACTCACCAGTGAAGACGGCCCCTCCGGCACATAGCTCCTGCCAGCTTCCTCCTCCTCCATATCATCCTCCGACTCAGCATGCAAAGATAAATCAGCCTCCGGGGTCGGAGTCACAACAGCAGCCTGCTGTGTGCCACATGCGCAATTGCACCATCTGCGCATGCGTGTGGTTTTCGTGCGCACAATGCACGTGCTCAAACGCCGTCGGCGCATGCGTGTGCCGTGCACACCAGTACTCTCCCGCGCATGCATAAACACGCGTGCACGCGCAGGAGAGCTCTGAAAACCAGCTGGGTCCCCTGAATTGCTCTCATGCGCCACGGAGGTCCGAACACCAGGCGGGGCGTGCGCGCATGCACAGCTGCAGGTGACTTGGGTGACAGCTCGCGTGCCTGGAAAAATGGCTCTGCGTGCCATTTCCAGAACACGTGCCATAGATTGGCCATCACGGGACTAGGAATTCTGAGCGTCTCTTAAAACGTTCCTTTGTTCCATAATTTTGGCTCGAGTAAGAGCTGATTTGAGAGGCAGGAGTCACCTTGCTATTAATAGTCAATCCTATTGAACCGCCGTGGGCAAATAGGCGGGAATATAAATTTAAATTTATTTATTTATTTATTTATTTATTTATTTTCAATTTATATACCGCCCTTCTCCCTGAGGACTCAGGGCGGTGCACAGCCAGAATTAAAAACATGAAATACAAATATTAAAAACAATTAAAATCTATATAAATTTGGCCCAAAAATTTAAAAAACCACAAACCAATTAAACATTTAAAAATTTAAAAAAAATTTCTTCCTAAGCCAGCCCGGCTTGCTGGAAAAAGTGGGTTTTAAGGGCACGGCGGAAGGCACTGAGGTCTTGGATTCTCCTTATCTCTGGGGGCAGCTGATTCCAGAGGGTAGGTGCCCCCACAGAGAAGGCTCTCCCCCTGGGGGTCACCAGCCTACATTGTTTGGCTGATGGCACCCTGAGGAGGCCCTCTCTGTGGGAGCGCACGGGTCGCTGGGAGGTCGTTGGTAGCAGCAGGCGGTCTCGAAGATAGCTAGGCCCTATGCCATGGAGCGCTTTAAAGGTGATAACCAACACCTTGAAGCGCACCCGGAAGACCACCGGGAGCCAGTGCAGCTCGCGCAGGAGCGGTGTTACATGGGAGCGCCATGCTGTTCCCATCACTACCCGCGCTGCTGCGTTCTGGACCAGCTGGAGCCTCCGGGTGCCCCTCAAGGGGAGCCCCATGTAGAGAGCATTGCAGTAGTCAAGGCAAGAGGTGACGAGGGCGTGAGTGACTGTGCATAATAATGAAATAAATAAATAAATAATCAATCCTGCGGTTTTAGAAATGAAGACTCAAAGACTTCTGAACACACCGAGAGGCCAGTGTGCGTGTGTCAGGCTCACCTGTTATGGAACCGGCCACGATTTGGAGAACAGAATGACTGGGACCGCACATTGCGCTATTTGCAAGCTCTGAAGAAGGTAAGATTTACAGGATCACCTGTGACGACTTCCTGCCTTGATGTCTGGGTTGCTTTGTTCACTAAGGAAATTATCCCTCTATTAACTCTATTTAGTCTTCCGTTGCGAACAATACCGGTAATTTGTTTTTCTAGGTCTCTGTAAAACATTTGTTTCCCAAGCTGGCATCTTCCAAATGTATTAAGACTGCAGTCTTCCAAATCTTCAGCTGATATGACAGATGCTAAAAGCCTTTGACGTACAGTAAAATAAAAATTAAGAAAT